TCACATCATCATTCACATCATCAACATCATCAACATCATTAACATCTACATCATCAACATCATCATCAACATCATCATCAACATCATCTTTTTTTTTCGATTTAAAGCTTTCGTGACTGCAGGGAGTCTTGGTTCTTACGGTAAAGTCACGTAGAATGGAAATAATAAAATAATAAAAATAAAACAAAATACAATTCTCACGACGTTTCGGCCACAACGCAAGCAGCCGTCCTCAGGTGAAGAACAGGTCTGTCGGAAAGACAGCGTCTGAATGTCTTTCCGACAGACCTGTTCTCCACCTGAGGACGGCTGCTTGCGTTGTGGCCGAAACGTCGTGAGATTATTTTATTTTGTTTTATTTATTTTATTTTATTATTTCCCTTCTACGTGACTTTATCGAAAGAACCAAGAAGACACGGAGGGATATCCAGTTCCCTCACCTGTAGCCTAAGGAGGTACAGCCTCCGTACCTGGTGGGCCCTCTACACGACTGGCTGCTAGCCTAGGAAGGTACAGCCTCCAAACCAGAGGTCGCAAACGGGTTTTGATTCCTTACCCGTACCCGGCCGTACCCTACCCGTACCCGTACCCTACCTATACCCTACCCGTACCCGCACCCTACCCGTACCCGGCCGTACCCTACCCGTACCCTACCCGTACCCTACCCGTACCCGCACCCTACCCGTACCCTACCCGTATCCTACCCGTACCCTACCCGTACCCGCACCCTACCCGTACCCGGCCGTACCCTACCCGTACCCTACCCGTACCCTACCCGTACCCGCACCCTACCCGTACCCTACCCGTATCCTACCCGTACCCTACCCGTACCCGCACCCTACCCGTACCCGGCCGTACCCTACCCGTACCCTACCCGTACCCTACCCGTACCCTACCCGTACCCGCACCCTACCCGTACCCTACCCGTATCCTACCCGTACCCTACCCGTACCCGCACCCTACCCGTACCCGGCCGTACCCTACCCGTACCCTACCCGTACCCGTACCCTACCCGTACCCGGCCGGGTAGGGTACGGGTATCGGGTACCCGATTGCGACCTCTGGGATGAAGCCACGTTGCAGACGCGGGTGGGTTGATTCTAGGAACTTGAATTGTGAGAAGAGACAAGACGTTGGGAAATGAGTGACAATCACGGTGACTCACCAGTGACTCACGGCCTACCCTTACCCGTACCCGGCCGCACCAGGGTCGCTAACGGGTACCCGTACCCTACCCGTACCCTACCCGATACCCGTACCCTACCCGATACCCGGCTACCCGTACCCGGCCGGGTACGGCTACCCGTTTGCGACCCTGGTGCGGCCGGGTACGGGTAGGCCGTGAGTCACTGGTCAGTAACTGTTTGTCACTCAATTCCCAACGTCTTGTCTCTTCTCACAATTCAAGTTCCTAGAATCAACCCACTCGCGCCTTCAACATGGCTTCATC